CTTTTTTAAAAAAAATATCTTTCTTCTTGGGTAATTTCTCACTCACATCCTAAATTATTTTTTTGAGTTCTTTGTATTGGTTTTTCAGGTTCTTCTTGGATCTCATTGAGTTTCTTTAAAATCAATATGTTAAATTATTTATCTGAGATTTCAAGAATTTCTTTTTGGTTAAGTTCTATTGCTGGAGAATTGCTGTGTTCCTTTGAGGGTGTTATATTTCCTTACTTTTTCATCTTTCTTGTGTCTTTACATTGATATTTTGTGCATTTGGTGTAACTGTTGTTTCTTCCTAGTTTTGAATTTAATTTCACAGGGTTAGGGGGGCAGCTTTTTCCTGAAGATGTGTCTATGGTGTTGGTTAGGTAGGGCCCTTTGGCTTTGCTTTTGGGCGCATGCAGCAGTGAAGTCTCTGTTTGATTTCTTTGGCTATAAACAACAGTGGAATTGATGGTTTCCTCTGTGTGTTAGGGTGCAGTTATTAGCGAAGGTTGTGGTGAGGTTGTGCTGGGTCTGGAATGCCAGGTAGGCCTGTCATCAGATTCAGTAGTAGTGGTAGTGGGCTAAGTATGTCTATCCTTGTGCCCTGGGGAGGTTTACACTGGCAACTGTGTTGGAGATCTAGGTGAGCCAATACTTGGGCTTCTAGGTAGCTTTCCTGGATGCTGTTTATGATAGTGATATACTGGGCAGGTGAGCTGGCTTTATGAATTCCAGGGTGGCCAGGGTGGCGTGGGAAATGGCAGTAGCAGTGGTGAGATGCTGTTCTGTATCCTAAGTGCTGTGTACTTCTGTTGGCAGTGGTTGCAATGATTGCAATGATTGTGCAGTCTGGCCTCCAGGCCAGTAGGTGGTGCTTGCAGGTAGGAGCCAAATTCCAGGTGGAGGCAGTAGGGTGTTTGGGTCCAACCTCAGTACTCTGGGAGGAGTGTTCAGGTGTCCCATGTTTGTGGCTTGGGTTGTGCAATATCCCAGACCCTGGACCCTGCACTCTGTCTCTGGGAAGAGGGGGCAAAGCTGGATGGAAATGGACTGGGCTGGTTTGTGCTCATGGCCCCAGCCATGATGGGTGGGGGTAGGGTGGTCCTCAAGCCTCTGGGGAATGCTTGGCTGGGGCAGCTGCTGTGGCACTGAGGTTCTTCCATGGGGAGGGGGGGCTAGCCCCATTGGCCCTAGCCTTTGTCTGCAGGTGGGGGGTGTTTGTCCCTCTGATGCTCCAGTCCTAGTGGGGCTCAATCGCCAGTCCTAGATGTTGTGGTCAGACCCAGCAGTCCATGCCTGGCTTGCAACTTAGCCTTGGGATGTAGGAGCCCCTGCCCTGCTCAGGACTAAGCATCCAAGGCAATTCACTTTCCCACCCAAGTCTAGGGGGCGGCAACCCTTTTCCAACAGCACTGGTAGCCACACTATGCTTGCTTCTAGGTCATGGCTGCAGGAACCCAACCCCTGCTCATGCCCCAGTTCCACTAGAAATGGCCTGAGTTTTCCTGATGTCTAGGACTGGTGCTGTTGGGTCCTAGGACAACGCATCATCTATTAAGAGCTAGTATTGAAAATGGTGTCTTGCCACTTACGTTTCAGAGAGGCTGTGGGATCCAGGACAACTTTGCTCCCTGGAGCAGTTCCTTCTCTCTGTCTCCTGGCTGCTGTGGAACTTACAGTCAGAGCTTGGGTGGGTCAGGGTGCTCTCCCGTGGCCTGGAGTGTACTGTTCCCCAGTGGGAAAGTAGACCACAGAAAGATGATCACTCACCCTCTCCCCATATTTGGGAGTCACTCTCGGTTCTTTGTTGGTCATGGCCAAGTAGACTGCCAGTTTTTCTTCTTCTTCCTAGTTTTTGGTGTTTTCTATTGCTTTTCTGTTAAATGCCCATGCTTGAATAGTATATTTAAAGTGTGATCATCTACATAATATTTTGATTTTTCTAAGTGGATGAGGCATGCACAAAAGGCTCCTAGTCAGCCATGTGTAGGTGAGGTGACTAAGGGCTGCATCGACCTGGACTGTCAGCTGCAGAGCAGGTACAGCAAGCAGACCCTGGAAGGATCTATGGGGAGAAATGTGCCCTGGGAGACGAGGGGACACAGGGAATGTGAGCATGGGGAGGGTGTGTGTGGGACCGAGGAAGGTATACCTCTTTAGGTAATCTTCAGAATGTGACCCCACTGAGTGTTTTCAGTCAGAGATAATAAAATAAGGAATATTATAATTGTTTTGAATTCACTATTTGTTGTTATTACTTTCTTTATGGTATTATCTTGAACTTGGGTTTGAATATTACTTTATCCTGATTCTATGACCTCGTCTGAATGTGGCAGATGGACAGATGGAATTTGTACTCTTTAAAAATCTTTACTTTGCAGTATTCTTACTTTAGGAAATGATATACCCTTGGACTGTGTATGTGTTCAAAATGTTCCACATTTGGACATTTTTAGTTAGTAGCGTAAACTATTGCTTAAATATAGATAAGTATTTCCTTTTTAAAAGACACATCATGGGTAGAGAATAAAATAAGTATATATATTGAATGGCCTGATAAAAAAACAAAACTCTGAAAAACTTATAAAAGTAAAAATATTAGTATTTTTATGACCATATTACATTATATTGCATAACATTCAGTAATTTGATTTATTTAAGTTATTGATAATGTAATAAATAGGATGTAAAAATTCTGAGATGTTACCCTCCTTTGCAAGCTAACAAGTTGTCCTGCCACAATTTTCATGTTGGCAGAAAATATGAAACTCTTGGGTCAGAGACAAAAAACCATTTATTATTCACAGCAATAGTAATAGCCAGGGTATAAGCATATGCCCCAGTTTTCTAAGCCCTGGTTTCAAAGGGCTACACAAGGAAGCACAGGTGATCCCTGCACTCACAGTGGTTGTGTTACAGGAGGAGAACCTTGAGTGTAAGGCACCTGACTCCTTTATAATGGGCAGTAACCTGCCTGACTTTGCCCTGAGAGATATTCATTTTAACCAGACAAAAACCAAACATGCCTTGTTTTCTCTGGAGGGGAACACTATCTCTATCTTCCAAGGCCTTTTACTATATAAACATCCTAGAAAATAAAGTCTGGGGGAAAAGGCTCCACTCCCAAGATGTATGGAAACAGGGAGAAACTAAAGAGAATTGTCTCTCAAAAGATGCAGTATACATAAATGTAAGTTTCTTTATTTCCCTGTAATTAAAATGAACTTAGCTTTGAAATCTCTTTTTTTATGGCAGAAAACTTAAACTTGTCAAGGTAAATTCAGTCACTTTGAGCTCAAAAAATATATTTTCATTTGTTGTAAATTTTAATTAATTTGGGATTCTTATACTGTTTTTCTGCATCCCTCTTAGGAGTGACACTATAGTAGCAAACACAATAGCACTTATAGCCTCCATATAATATTCTAAGCCCTTTATATACATTAATTCATTCAATCCTACAGGTAGACTATAATATTATCTGCACTTTAAATGTGTAAAAATTAAGGCACAGAGAAGTCACATTGCCCCAAATCACCTAAGCAGCAGAGCTTGGATTCTGATCAAAGAGTCTCCAGAGTAGGTGCTCCTCACCCATGCTATGCCACCTCTCTGCTTTCTAAGGTCTCTGGGCTGCCTATGTTTCTGGGGCTTATATGTTGTCTATGCATCTTATCCAGATTTAGTCCAGTCCACTCTTGCCTGCACTGTCGTGTCTTATCCCATAGCATAGTCCCTGTCTTTGTCAGTTCAATTGTTGGGCTCTTGTGGGACTATCTGCTCATCCCCACCCACCTAGGAGCTCCTGTTCAGGAATTCAGAGCTCCATGCTGGCTTGGGGAAGAGAGCTGTGAGGCCTCCATCAACACTGACTCTCAGCCATTGCATTTCCATTACTCAGGTGCCATGCCCAAAACATGGCTTGATTCTTAGTTCTGCCATTTGCTAGCAGCTCTGACCTTCAGCAACTTGGCATCTCTACCAGTTTCTACATCTCTGAAGGAGAGATAATAATACTGTATTTCTCAGAGGGTTGATGTAAAGATTAAGTGAGTTCATTTATACCTGACAGATAAATATGCTAGGTGAAGTACTTGTTCATATAGTATTATACCTTAGAGGAACAATAGGAAACGAGTTTTAGAGCATAGAATTGATCAAAATTTATAACAAATAAAACATTTTAAGTTCAATGTGGCTGAGTTTACCTTGACAAGTTTAAAATTTCCACCATGCACTTTATAAACACTGTATACTTAGGCTACACTAACTTTATAAAAAACATTTCTTTCTTCAATAATAAATTAACCTTAGCTCATTGTAACTATTTTACTTTATAAACTTTAAAGATTTTTTTTAACTTTTGGAATTTTTTGTGATAACACTTAGCTTAAAACTCAAACACATTGTCCAGCTGTTTAAAAGTATTTTCTTTCTTTAAATCTTTATTCTATAAGCTTTTCCTATTTTAAAATTTTTTTATTTTTTATGTTTTACTTTTTAAACTTCTTTGTTAACCATTAAGACACAAAAACACACAGTAATCAAGGCCTACACAGGGTCAGGATCATCAATATCAGTGTCTTCTACTTCCATATCTTGTACCACTGGAAGGTCTCCAGGGAAATAATATGCATAGAGCTGTCATGTCCTATGATAACAATCCCTTTTTCTGGAATACCTTTTGAAAGAACTGCCCAAGGCTATTTTACAGTTAACTTTATTATTTTTTTAATAAGTAGAAGGAGTACACTATAAAATAACAATAAAGAGTGTAGTATAGGATCAGGTGTGGTGGTGCACATCTGTAGTCCTAGCTACTCGGGAGGCTGAGGCAGGAGGATTGCTTGAGGCCAGGAAATTGAAGCTTTAGTGGACTATGATCACACCTGTGAATAGGCATTGCACTCCAGCCTGGACAACATAGTGAGACCCCTCTCTAAAAAAAAACAAAACTGTATAGCATAGTAAATCCATAAATCAGTAACAGAGTCATTTATTGCTATTGTCAAATATTATGTACTGTATATAATTATTTGGGCTACACTTTTATATGACTGGCAAAGCAGTAGGTTTGTTGACAACAGCATCACAACAAACATGTGAGCAATACATTGTGCTGTGCTAAGATGACTATGATGTCATTAGGCAATAGGAATTTTTCAGCTCCTTTTTAATCTTATGGAGTCACCGTGGTATATGTGGTCCCTCATTGATCAAAATGTCATTTTGTAGTGCATGACTGCAACTTACATAAAATGTTCCAACTCCTAAGAACTTTGGCATGTGTTTTAGAAAGTGAGTATTCGTGATTCCAACAATTAAAAAATAGTTTTCAGTTCTTATGTCTATTTGAACTTGCTAAGTTTAAGAAAACCAGTTGATGTCAATGGCTCCATTTTCTGTTTTGTTTTAGTTTTCCCTGAAAGCAGGGCAGGAACTAGGTCAAAATGAGTGAGGCTAGTCAGGTACTTGTCTTGGGTGCCTGACTAGGCACCCAAAATTTTGTGGGGTGTCCAAAGTTTAGTAATCAAGATAAATTATATTTCGATGTGATATTTTTAAAAATTTATTCAAAAAATCCATGATGAACAAAATGTCAAATTTTAAACAAAAAGACAGCGGTATTTCCCTGTTGCCTGAGGCTCCAATATGGCTGCCATTGTTAGGGTGGAGACTCAGAGCAGCTCAAAGTGGGGTGGAGAAAGATTTCTCAACACACAGATTAGGGTATAAAGAAGTAAAACATTTATTTTGCTTTTTTCAGAGAATGAGAGAGAGGGATAGAGAAGCGAAAGAGAGAGGGAGAGAGGGGAAAGAGAGAGAAAAGGGAATTAGGCATGACACACAGAAGAGAGGAATGTGCCGGGCAGTTGAGGAAAAGTGGCTTGATGTTTTTAAAGGATAAAAATGAGTTTTTTTTCATTTTGATAACAGGAGTGGCTGTGGAGCAGCTATGTTTATTTTTCCATTGCTTTTTCCTTTGCTCTGTGGGGCTAGCTTCATCAGAGTTCTTGGAATCTGGTTCTGGTGAGAGCTGGAGTGGGAGCTCATACTCTTGCTGTCTGCTTAGGGCTCTTCAAGGTTTTGAAAATGAAACTCTCAAAACAATTTTAATCTTAAAGACAATGAGTTGAGTCCCAGGTTGTTGGTGAAACAAATGGCAGTTGTGTTATGAGTTTTCTCTTCAAAGGGGCAATTATGTGCTGTGAGTTTATTACTCTTACTTTCTATGTGATAGTTTATCTTTCTCTGTTAGGTAGTTTGGCAAGGCCGTTCTTTCGGCCATAGCACTAGTACTAATTTTCGGGCCCTTTTTGTCCATATTGTCAGGCCACTGAGAGACTTCTTAGTATGTGTGGTGGCAGGGACAGCAGTAAGAAATCCTCCAAAAGCTGGTATTTGAGTGCACAAAATCCTTTTTCTTCTAGTTATTTCCATGGCTTGACTAGTATATCTTCTTTGTAATTCTACTTGAGAAGTCAGTGTTTGATTATATTGTTTTGTTTTTTAAAATGTGTGTCTGCTTTGTTCATTCTCTTTGTCCTATGAAATTTAAGCAGCTAAAGATATTTTCTTATAAGTGTTTTTCCCTTTCTTCTAACTATTACATAACAAATGTAATTTTTCCCCTCCTCTCTGGTAATAAAAACAAGATGGCCTGCCTTGAAAAGAGAGTAATATTTTTATGGTTTTCTTGCCAAGGTAACAATAACAAAACAAACAAACAGTTAATTGTATTTTAATACTGAAAGCCAGTGGGGCAATTAACTTATTGTGGACAATAATGTTGATTGTCCTCAGTATAAGCTAGACCTCAGTGTAAACCAGAAAAGTGGCTTACAGATTCCATAAAGGCTCATCATTTTCTTCCTAAGCTTGGGCTACCTAAAAGTAATGAAGATTAAGACCAATAAGGCCAGAAGCACTAAGACCAGAAAAAAGACAAGACTGGCATAATCAATAGGAAACGACATTTCCCATTCTGTGACTTTAACTCTAAGGGCCAAGCCTGAGAGCATCTGGGGGTGGGTTGGGGGAAGGATACAGGAAAAGAACATCTCAACTGAACCACGTTCTCAGTGTGGTCCTGTTCATCTAAAGGGTCTCGTTGCCCGGTCTGACAGACAGCTGGGCGAAAAGAGGCTCCTCCCACCTCACAGTTGTCGTAACAGCCGTTTTATTCCAGCACTGTCAGGGACTGCTTTTAAGAGCATCGTGATAGATGGCATTTTCTGCAGTGTGAGTGGTGGGAGGAGGGGGAGGAGAATGTATGTGCTGCACAGGCAGTTTTTGTGATTTTAACAAGTCTCTGTCACCCCTTTCAAACCTGTAAAACAGAATACGCGCACACTGGCTTGCTACCACTCGTCCTCCTTGGCCTCTGGGATTCCTTTCCCTTTAGCTGTGTTTCTCAACCCTTTGCGTCTCTCCAAGGCAGATGTAGCAAAAGCAGTGGGCAAATGGCAAAGGAATACAAGCCTGTGCTGTTTCTGGAACACACTAAGCTGGTGTCCACACTCAGAAATTCTGCCTTAAGAAAAATATTTCACTACAGGGCTCTTTGTCTGCTTTCCAAAGCATACAGAAATGGATTAACTTAAAATATAGGCACCCAAATGCTTGACACGTAGATGACCCTGACAAAAATGACTCTCCACAAAGTCAGAATAGAGACAGTCCTTGTGATGCCAAGACCAGTGGTTTATCCACCTCCCCCACTAGGGCATACAGAACACATGATTATGTTCCCTAAGGTTATATAAAAATTTCTGCTGCTTCTAGGTGTAACTCCTTCCCTTTTTCTCTCACTCATCAAAGCATTTCAGAGTGTAGGTAATGGAGATTGATATTTTTATGAATATACACTTGATCTAGTCCAAACATTTTTTTAGAAAAAGTAGATCAGTTGCAAAGTTCAGTATTTTCACTATTTGCAGGCACAGATTTCTTTAGCATGCTTCACAGTTAATTAACGTCATCGTGTTGAGAGACCTTGTCTTAGGAACCCAACCCAGTGCCCCTCTCATGTATTCACACACCCTTGTGGTAACTGGGCATGTTATGTCTATATTTGGGTGCCATTGTAAGAGGGTGTTGAAAAGCAAGATACGTGTAATTTTTGAAAACACATTTTCATCCTTTCTGTAAGGCCTTAGAGAAATAGTGCTATCTGCCAAATGAAGAGGGGGGGATGGGGGGTGCATGTGTTTTCCTCTAGTTGCTGAGAATGGATGAAGCTTTTTATTGGGCTATTTGGAATTCTTTTGGCTTGCAGATGGAACCAAGTAAGTTTCATTCAAGGTACTAGTGGATTTTCTCTTTCTAAGATGCACAATATAATGAACAATTACAAATTCTCCAAACAAAAATCTGTATAACCCTTAGCAAATGTACTACAAAGGATTTCCAAGAAAATTACAGGAAATTGACTGAGCAGTACTAACCTAATCATGTGATCATCATCTGCTCGGTATTTTTTTCCAGGAAGAGATTGATATTCGTAGTGCGATGCTTGCTAGAGCAATAGGTTGGAAAGGAAATCGTTTCCTTTCCTGTATTTTAAGAATGTTCCCTTTTGGCAGGACATAATCTCTTAAAGATGATCTTGCTTTCAGATAGCTACAAATACATCATTTAGTGCTTTTTGTATGAATGTGGGGCTGATAGATTTAGATGCCAGGGACGGATTGCAGGTTTTTCATTACCATAAATCCTGCATCACCTCAGCAGCATGATGGAAGCATTTTGATAGATAACATAAACTCATTAATCACCACGCTCTTCAACTAAGTACCATAGAAAGAATTTTAAATGTTCCACATTCCAACATTTGTGAATGCCTCCCCTTTTAAAAATGCCATCCTTTATTAGTTCATGCTGTTTAAGGTAGCTTGAGTTAACTCCGTGAAAACAGACTGTGTATCCAGGGAAGAAAGGACTGGAAAGGGGGAGGAGGGGAGGGAAAGGAGGCAAGAAGATTAAATTCTGTCTTAAGTCCAAACATGGGGTAGATTGCATGCTAGCATTAACGTCTCGTCCTCTTCCCAGAGAATGTTGGCAGGCTTCCAGTTTATTAAAACAACAATCCAATGCTGATCTTCTCCCTGTATACACGATTGAAGGATGGATCATTTACTCGAACAAAGCTGTTCACTGAGGTATAAAAGCAAAAGTGCATTTTAGGAGAGGTTGTTTATGACTGTAGCATAAAGTATGACGTTGTGTGTTTCATATAAGTGGTCCTGATCATTATTAAGCGAAAAGAGAAAGCCATGTTCTTATTCTAAAAGCAGTAAGCCCAAGTTTCAGCCAGGCAGTCAATGATGCTGCTTAAACATGTGAAACTGCACTAAATACAGGTGTGTGTTCTTAAAAAACATTCTAACTTGCCAACAATGCACTCTGGAATGAGTATTCTCTTACAAAATGTTTTTCCCTCTGAAACAAAATAATGCACCACAGGATTTATTTCACTGATGTGTTTCCCTCCTGCATTTAACACCTGGAGAGTATCTGAATGTTCAACTTTCTTGGCACATGTTTAATGATTAATATGAAGTTTATCTGTTCACACATTCATTGCCAATATATGGGTGTTTATAAAAGAAAAGCATGCCCAGACTTATGTCTTAGGAAAAGAATGCTATTGTATTTCTTTTGGCACATGAAATTATATAATTCACCAGCAATTTGGGGGGGTAAAAGTTCTACTGAGTATCCGAAGGACAGTGACAAATGTCAGACAAACAGACTTTACACTAGAAGACCCATCTCAGGCAGCAGAGCCAGCCTCAGGGAGAATGGCCTGTTAAGTGTGCTTTGTTTCCAGGTAGCATTTTGTAAATCCAAATCTTTGATAATGACACAGTATATTGAATGGTGACTGTGACTGAATGGCTGTTGAACTTTTAAGATATGATTCAGCACACCACTGTGAGAACAGAGCACAATAACATTAAACACCAGATGGTATTTCAAAGCCCATCAGATACACAGATTCCTTTTTCTTCTTAACAAAAGATCGGTAAGGCTTCACATCTTAAAAAAAAAGGAAAGAAAGAAAGAAAGAAAAAGAAAAAGAAAAGCAGAAAGAAAAAGAAAGAAAGAAAGAAAGAAGCCCATTAAGATAAATGGGCTGATTTGGTTTTGTCTTGCTTGACTATTATAGGGAAGCCATCTGAATGGGTCAGATTACAAACTGGACTCCAGATCAAAGGGTTGCTACTGCGGTGGTGGGTCACGCTGATCTGAACTGTGTCAGCCAGAGCAGCATGAAACCCTAAACTGTGGGCCAAGAAAACATGTCCCTCTCAAACTGAGACTTGACCACACCAATTAACCAGAGCATTTGCCTCTTTGCGTCAGAGGGAATCCAAGAGGTCTCCCCCCGCAGGGCGATTGGACATGCGATGAGAACGGGCTCCTGTGACATGGCTTAGATTGTCGCTTTCACGAGTGAAATTTAACTGTCCGTCAAAAAGTCACCCAAGAGCAGCTGCACCACTAGCAGCTTTTGAGGAAGTAAAGAGGTGAGTGAAATGTGGTTTGCTCACATGGCTGCTGCTTAGAGAACACTGATGCCCATCAGGGAAATCAGAGTTCAGGAGACTGACCATGTGGGCGATGCTGTAGAAGGAGAGTGTGATAGTTAACAGTACGTGTCAGATGGGCTGGACCATGGTGCCAGATATTTGGTCAAACACTTTTCTGGATATTTCTGTGAAGGTGTTTTTTAAATATGATTAAAATTTACATCTGTGGACTTTGGGTAAAGCAGAGTACCCTCCACGATGTGGGCAGGCCCCAGCCCATCAGTGGGAAGCTTTGACAGATGAAGACTGACCTCCCTTGAGCAAGAAGGAACCCTGCCCACAGACTGCCTTTGGGCTAGAATTGCAGTTCTTCCCTGAGTCTCCAACTGCTGCATACTCCATCAGATTTTGGACTCACAAAGCCTCCAGAACTGTGTGAAGCAATTATTCCTTAAAATAAATCTCTCCCTCTCGCTCCCTATCTCTCTCTCTCTCCACGCACACACATACACACACACACACACGTGTGCACACACACGCACACATATCTTGTTGGTTCTATTTCTCTGGAGGACACTGACTAATACAGAGGAGTACATAAAATCATGAGCGCTCACAACAGTTTTGCATTTGAGAAATGAATTAGCTGGACCTGACCGTCTCAGTGGCCTGCTCCACTAAGAGTGGAGCTAAGAGTCCACTAAGAGTGGGCTAAGAGTCTGGGACAGCTGATGGATTGGGGTAGTATAGTGTAGTGGGTAAGGGTTCAGGCTCTGCAAGGAGACAGATCTAGGTTGGAATTTTGGCTATTCGACTTACTAGCTAAATGATTTTGTACAAGTTCCTTAAGATTTTTAGGTCTCAATTTCCTTCTTTGTATGGAAAAGTAATACTTACCCTCTGGAATTTCTGAAAGGCAGTAGATGCAAAAAAAAAAAAAAAAAAAAAACCTAAAAGCAAAGATTTAAAAAATTACAAAAATGGGCAGAGGTGTGCAGTTACAGATGATATCCCCAAATTTCTTTGTCAGAAGAGGGTGGTCATTCAAACCCAATAGAGGCTGTCCTAAATTTATATTCATCTGGAAGATATGAAGTCATCTCAATGCAATGGCCCCACCAGGCCTATCTTACTGTAAGCTCCCGCCCAACACTAGGGGTGTTATGAGAATCTACATGAAGAAACCGGGGCTTCTTAGAGAACCTGTGCTCAGAAGGAAGAAAGTGAGGAAGCTGGGACACGACATTGTGGCTTAAGGACACTGATTCCAAGAAAAACTCTGAGAACATCAACCTGCTCAGGAAGGAGTCTTTTGTTCTAAAGAATACACTGCTGATATTTCATAAATTGGCCATTTATTTGGGTTGCCAATCTGGTATTAATATTTACACAATGACGATAACTCTTTGCAGTTTAAGGGACCCTTTGAAATTCATTTATCAGTGGGCACAGAGGAATCAACGATTGTGACTTGGAGATCCAGTGTCTTCAGGGCATAGAGCACTGTGCAGGCCTGGAGGGTTGGTTTAGAGTGGAGAACAGAGGGAGAGAGGGGCTGCTCGAGATAGCTCCAGGGTATGGCGGCAGCGGACACGTGGGGAAGGGCCCTGGGTGGAAGGGAAGGTGCATATAAAGGAAATAAGGACGCCCAAACCACACTCTATTTCAAAATTCTGTCCAAGGTCAGCCCTGTACCCTCTGTGTCCTGCTGTCTTCAGATGCTCTTGGCTGCCAGAATCCAGGATGAATATGGTACCTGCAGTCCTAGAGCTCAGACTATCACATGTGACAAAGGCTTGGCGGGCCACCCTAAGGCTGTAACCACTACATTTAAATTAGTCTGTGGAAACACATTGTGAATTAAAAACTGACCTAACGTTTTTGGGAAAAAAATAGTCTCATGTGGACTCTACATAAAATAATGATTTATACAGAATTGGATTCACCACAAAATCCTCTTAAGAAGCAAATTTCTGGCCGGGCATGGTGGCTCATGCCTGTAATCCTAGCACTCTGGGAGGCTGAGGCAGGCGGATTGCTCAAGGTCAGGAGTTCAAAACCAGCCTGAGCAAGAGCAAGACCCCATCTCTACTATAAATAGAAATAAATTAATTGGCCAACTAATATATATAGAAAAAATTAGCCGGGCATGGTGATGCATGCCTGTAGTCCCAGCTACTCAGGAGGCTGAGGCAGGAGGATCGCTTGAGCCCAGGAGTTTGAGGTTGCTGTGAGCTAGGCTGACGCCACGGCACTCACTCTAGCCTGGGCAACAAAGTGAGACTATGTCTCAAAAAAAAAAAAGATGGAAATTTCTTATGGGTTTAAAAAGTGATTTTTGATCTTCATGGAGATTTCCATGTGACCGTATTTATTGAATAAAGAACAGCAAAATTTATATTTGCACTGTTACAGCACGTGTCACAGCGGCTGGTCCTGAGGACAAACCGAGCAGCACACGGAGAGTCGGAGAATCAAAGTTTATTCACTGGTGGGCTCAGCGGGGCCTCGCCACCAAATTCTAAACACCTTCTACCTGATTTTTCACTTTCATTAAGTTGGGGTGGTCCCAGGGGTGGGGTATCAGGTATAGGTTAGTCTATATGTCAATAGGTTAACATTATGTTGATGCACCAGGCAATAGATGTATTGTTATGCTGATGCAAGGCAATAGACTAGTTGATGGGCCAGGAAACAGGTTAGTGTTACGCTGATTCTATGAGCCTGTGGGTGTTCATAATTATGTTCTAATTATTCTTTCCTTTTATTCCTCAAGGCAGGTGGATGTGCTTATCTATTCTACTGGAAGACCTACAATCTGATGGCATACAGCTCAACAACAAAATGGAAAACAACCTAATTTTAAAAGTGGACAAAGGAGATACACACACACACACACACACACACACACACACACACAAATAGTATACAAATAGTCAACAAACACATGGAAAGATGCTCAGCATCAGTAGTCACTAGGGAAATGCAAATCAAAGCCATAATGAGTACCACTTCATACTTAGATCACTACAATACAAAACAAAAAGAAAGAAAAGAGAAATAACAGGTGTTGGTGAGGATATGGAAGAATTAAAACTCATCAATTGCTAATGGGAAGTAAAATGGTTCAGCCTCTGTGGAAAACAGTTTGGTGGTTCCTCAAAATGTTAAACAGAATTGCTGTGTGACTCAGCAATTTCACTTCTAGGTATACACCCCCCAAAATTGGAAATAGGTACTCAAACAAATACATGCACATACATGTTTAAAACAGCACTATTCACAGTAGCCAAAAGGTGGAAAAAATACAAATGTCCATTAATGGATGAATTGACAAGCAACTTGTTTGGTTTATAGAACTTATCCATACAATGGAATATTATTTACCAAAAAAAAATGAAATACTGATACATGCTACAACGCAGATGAAACTTGAAAACATGCCAAGTAAAAGAAGCCAGACACAAAGTTCACATATTATGTAATTACATTTATATGCAATATCCAGGATAGGTAAATCCACAGAAACAGAATACAGATTGGTGATTATCAGAACTTACAAGGAGGAAGGAGTGAAGACTAACTGCTTTATGGGTATGAGGTTTCTTTTTGGGGTGATGGAAATATTTTGATATTAGGTAGAGATCACAGTTGCACAACATTCTGAATATACTAAATGCCACTGAGTTGTTTGCTTTAAAAAGATTCATTTTATGTTACATGAATTTCACCTAACTTAAAAAAAGAATTGATGGCATCAGGTCTGTTAAATGTCCTGGTTATGGGAGGCACAGAATTTGGAAAAGAATTCCTCAATCATGTTTCCATCGATGCAAGCCGCTGCAGGAAATCTGATGAATTCACCATCCACCATGTGAACAGAACAAATGTGTCTCCACCTACTCTGTTAGAAACCCTGTTTCCACACGTCCACTGTGGACACTCCGAGATCCCTTCCCCGGGACGCGTTCTGAGACATGGAGCCGACACCCAATGCTGGCCAGGCATGTTCGCGCTGACGTGGCTAGTCGTGGAAACTCTGGACCAGCCTTCCTGGCTGACCACTCCTTTCAGTCATTAACATTCTCTCAACACTAAACTGCTTAATTTGGTTACACCACCCGCCTGTTTAGAATGCAGGAGATGCCTGCTTTTATGTTTGATTTCAGCAGGGCTTTCGGGCACTGAAGGTTTTCTGTGGGATCCAATGGCCTAGTTTGAGGTGAATAATCAGCTTTTTACTCAATGCTCTCTCTCCCTTTTCAGCTGCAAACATTCTCTGTCCTTTTCTATTCCCATGGTTAAGCACAGTGAAATGCTACTTTCAGAAAGACGAGGGTGTCAAAACCCCTGGTGATTTCTAACGCTTACAGAACACATCGCATAGGAGCAATTCAGACGACAAAAAAGAGCACTCTTCAGTCGGGTTTACACTGTGTGCCTGCTCACCTACACATCAGCAAACATGAATGCCTCGCCTGAGGAATGACCGGGTTCTGAGTGAGTTCCTGGGCTGGCAGTAGGTTTGAAATTCTATAGAGGCAGGCAAGGGAGGAGGTGACTGGGGTAGAATTACGGGAAGGGATTAATGAGGGGGTGCTGGCTGAACATACTGCTTCACTGTTCTCCCAGTCACTAGACTGAGGAGTCACTGGTTTTTGCCTCCAGGACTGTACTTTTCTAACTTAAAACAAGCCTCTTTAAACAAATCTGCATGAGGCAATGTGTCAACACTTCATTGGTTTCAATAGAATTAGTTTTCTAAATGCTCTTTTCTGAAGCAATTTTTGTACTTGAAAAAGCATTACAAGGAACATTTACTATAACTACAGTACAACGATATAGAATATGACAAGTAGGGTTTTAATCAGTGCAGACTGCAACACCGAACACGCGCGACACCCACCCTCCCCCTTCTCCTTCAGCATCCATGTTAATAAACTCAGGAACTTAAGGTTGTTTTTACTGGTATTTGCTGTAAATAATAGCCAGGACTTTAATTGTATTTGCTCAGAATGAACTAGCCTAACAGTTTTCCAAAGATGCCTAGGCAGGTTGTGATTTAAAAGCCTTATGTAACTCAGGCCCTTTCCGCACCCCATGCCAAGCGAACCATAAGATCGTTCTGCTGGCTGAGAGCTAACACGCCAAAGGCCTGAACAAAGTGGGGAAAGCACACATCAGCACTCTATGGTGGACTTGCCTGGGTCGAACTCAAAGCACAGCTAGAGGCAGTCGAGAGGGGCTGAAAATTCAATGCCCTGGTTCTGACGTGTTCTGCAGGACATGCTCTCTGGTAAGATGTACCATAAATATGAGCTGCATGAGGGGCTGCGAAATGGAAAAGTATTTCTTTTATTCATTCTTTTTATTAATCTCAGCATGTGCTTTACTTGCCATTTTGGGGGCTTTTTTAATTTTTATTTCCTTAAAAGGGAGACAGAGAAAGAATAGAGTCGTTCAAGTGCTCTAATAGTGAGAGATGTGGGTCCTATTATAAGAAGCCATTTAACCTCATTCGACTTCAGTTTTAGCTCTTCCTGAACATGTGGCTGGAATAGGGATGAAAGGGCAATGGCCACTGTGCTTGTGCGGCGTTGAAGTGTGGAAAGGGACAGACTGCTGTGGTGATAGAGGGATCCCACATTAATGTGGGCTAGGACAACCCAAGTTTGTTCTCTTGGTCTTTCTGGAAATAATAGGCAGAGACAAATGACCTCCCTATTCCTTGATTCTTCTGAAACTTCTTACTTATTTGTCTTTAAGGGATGCAGAGGGTGCAATGCAAAGTGTCCACATGGGTTTGGGGCTGCACATGCCTGGAGGAGGGAGCCTAGCCCTTCCACTTTTGCTACTTATATACACTTAGACAGGTGGCATAAATCTTCTCAATGTTAGTTTTCTCCTCTGTAAACCTGGCACAGGCCCTAACTTTTCCAGTTGCTATAAGGGTTGTAGATAATGATGCCAGCTGCCTAGAGCAATAGGTGCTCAGCAAATGCTAGCTGATGTTATTGTTCTTGTGATGAGTTCAAATAGGAAACACACCATGAAGTCAAAATTTATTAATGACCAAGTCGTTGCTGGGCACTGTGCAAAAGGCAAGATTTGATTCCTGCCTGAGAAGATCTCACAGCCTTGTTGGGAAAGTTGGCAAGTACGCACGTGATTCCTGTCCAACGTGGTGGTCACTGCATCTGGGTAGAGCAGGTGAATGCTCTACATGAAAGACTCCCGGAAAATAGGAGTTTTCAACCAAAGGCAGCTATACTTGCAGGGCTTCTTTAAATCAATCGTCTTATAAAGAATCTTTTCCCCAAATTAGATTTTATCAAGTTCAGGGAATGACTTGGATGGACCTTTTCTCCCTTCATTTTATTGTTACCGTAGTTCTGGTCAACAAATTTGCTGTATAAATAAACAACATGATAAAGTTTGTCACGTCTCTAGTTACATAAGAAAGAAACACCGTGTTTCAACCACACACTACAACATCTGATATGGCTGCACCAAATTATTTTTGTCAAATAATTTGGATCACTGCAAGTTTGATCCACTAGATTTCTGTAAAATCAATTTTGTAAAAATAAACATACCAAACAGTCAATTTCAGAAGTATTGTCATCAAAGACTGGACATTGAAGTCACATTTCTTTAATATCTTCTTCCCTTCTTTGCCGTTTCATGATGCCATGAATAGAACGTGGTCAGTGAAGCTAAACATCATCACATTGCTTGTTGTTTTTTATGTTTGAAGACTGATCCCAGCTGTGTTTAAAACAGAGAAGATCTCAAAGCATTTCTAATCACATATTTTTGGAGATCATTTGCAATATCCTTTAAGACAAAAACAAAAACACATAAATCAGTAATATCCAGTTGAATTCTTCTGTGCCAAAAATGATCACTCAGCATAGGCAGAAATTTCACCTCTTTTTCTATAACATTTATTATTAAAATCAGATTTAAAAGAAAATTTTAGATAACTAGTTTCTTCCTAATTATAAAAGTAATATATATTTATTGTAAAAAACATAGAACTATTAGAAAATAAAAAGCACTGCATTTAAAAATCAGTAGCCAGAAATAACTACTTTTGACATTTTAACTTTTATTGAATAAAAATTTGCTTTCCAGAGCATTGGCCCAAATTGTGGCCATTCTTCATGACTACGTACATCAATAAGGATCCCTGGAGCCTATGCATGTGTGGGGCCAGGGGGCAGATGGGAAATTTCTATTTCCACTCAATTTTGCTGTGAACCTAAAGCATAAAATCTATTTAAAAAAATCTCCTGACTTTTACTCTTTCAGTGTTCAGTTTATATTCATGCACATAGCTCTTTTTCATGACATTATATGAAATAAGATATAGTTTTTTTGTTTTGTTTTACTCATCTGAAAATTGGGCTGATATTAGTATTCTAGTAAGAAGGCAGAGGGTAGTCGCCATGGCTCAATGAGAGCACTAGTGAGAAGGGACAGAAGATCCTCTCAAAAGTGTGAGTGGTTACCAAAATTCTACAGGTCCCACCCTCTTCTAAAAAAAGATTGATTTGATATCTCCAAGTACCAAAGGGCCTGGGATGAGTCAGCTGTGATTTGGGGACTCACTGCTGCAGGATGGGGGATGTGCTATGATCTTGACACCAAGAGCACCGTCAGAGACCCCACCTCCATGTCACCATGTCTGCTAAGATGCCAGTCCTGCTGACGGGCAAAGAAGACATCCATGGCAGTTCGCAGTTTGAGCACCAGGAAATGTTACGGAATGGCCTTCCACCTGCGGTGTCCCAGCACTGACCCTGTAGGTCCCTCTCTTTCACCAACCCTCACAGCGTTTGCACCCTTCTCCTTCCCATTTGGGCCATTACCCAACTCCCCCTATTGCTGTCAAAACGGGGGTGGAGGCTGGGGCTGGGTAGATAGACACCTCCGGCTGCCCGTAGCCCTTCTGTGGGGTGGGGACACTTTTTTGCTTTTTGTGGTTTTTTTCCTCTGAATAAAAAAGATTCTACTAACAAAAACAAAAAACAAAACAAAACAAAAAAACTCTTTCCTGGACAGTTTTGTGATCTGATTCTGATTACCACCTTCAAAATATTTGCTCATTAAACATCCCCGACTCTTCCTGAAAAGACAATTTCAAATTTTAAATTGGATCAAAATGATTGAGATAGACATTTAGAAGCCAACAATGTAAAGTTTAGTTATCTGATTGGGTACTCTATACCCCTTTACTCTGTGGTCCTTTTCTCATTGAGGTCTTCTTTGACCCCTCTATTAAAAATGTCAAACTTCCCTTCCCTTCTCTTCCATGCTTTATTTTTCTCCATAACATCCTACATATTTATTTATTTTACATATTCTCTATTCCTCCCACTAGAATTCAAACTCCATGAAGGCATGTGTATTTGTCTGTCCTTTTCTGCTAAATCCATAGTTCCTAGAACAGGAGCACTTGGGCACATGAGCACTTGGGTGGTAAGGTTTGTTAAATAGCTGAGCAAATTAGAGATTTATGTTGTGGTTATAAAAGAAAAGACTCAGGGAATGGTCCTGAATGGGAGGTTGAAACAAAAGGATTTAAATTGTTCTGCATGGTAATGTGAATTTTTAGTTTTCTCCTGGCAGTTCCAGAGGATAAGAGAAGGATGGGGAGACTGAACTCAGGAAAGAGAAGGTCTTTATAAGGTCTATCTCCACACACAGTGTCTTGCTGACCTGAGGACACCTAGGGTTCACTCTCCAGTGTGTTCCTGTTCTGTAGCATGTGATTCTACCACGTTGTCTCTGTCCTGTCTTATCAGACCTACCTCAGCTGGTACAGTAAAAAAGAGATTTCCTGGGGTGGAGAATGGCCAATGAAGACTGATTTCTGATTCTCAATTTGAAATTGATTTTCAACTTGAAATTGTGTCTTGTACTGTGATGTAATTAACTTGTTATCTTCATACCTCATTAAACGCGGTGACACAAAATAGCAAATTAAAATTTGAGAAAATTAAAAACCATGTATTTAGAAATGATCGTACATAAAGTTGAGGGGATAGAATATACAGCAACATGAGAAGGAAGTGAAAATAGGTAAGAAAAGGTGAGACCTAGAAAATTAATTCAGAAGGTTTAATAGTCACTTATTAGAGAATATGGGAAAAGGGCAGGAGATAATTGTCAAAAAATGATGGAAGAAAATTTGCTATTGTTGAGAAGATACAGAGTTTTCATTTTAAATGGGTTCAAGTGTGGCCAAATGAATGATCTAGTCATTGATTTATGAAAGTTCAATAAAGCAAAGATAACAATAATCTGATAGCTTCTAGAGCAGGCGTCCTCAAACTATGGCCCATGGGCCACATGCAGGTGTTTTTGCCCATTTGTTTCTTTACTTCTAAATAAGATATTTGCAGTGTGCATAGGAATTTTTCTCATAGTTTTTTAAAAACTATAGTCTGGCCCTCCAAGGTCTGAGGGACAGTGAAGTGGCCCCTTGTTTAAAAAGTTTGAGGACCCCGGTTACAGAGAAAAAAAGGTTATGTAAAGTTTGATACCAAACAGATTGATAGAAAATTTCTCTTTATTAACAATGTGAATATAAAATAGTACCTTCAAAATTCAGAGAGAATGGGTTTTAAAGGTAGAATTATATATCTAACCACTACTTTGATCTAGTATGAAGGTATAAATGGAGACATTTTAGGAGAGGTCACAGAATGTTTCCCTCTTACACCATCTGAAGAAGACACTTGACAGTATGGTCTAGAGAAATATGCGGCAAAAAACAAGTAATAGGAAGCCATGAAATAAAAGAAATGGTGGAATTAACCTAAGAGGGCAAGGAATTAAATTCCAGAATGCTAGCTGGGTAAGTCCAAACTAGCAGGAAATGCAGTGTACACCAAGAATGACATTAAGAAGAATGAAATAAATTCAATTAATTGCTTCAAGAAGCTGGAAGATCTTATTGACAAAATAAGAACGATATATACAAATATTGATAAAGGGAAAAGTATGTAAGGAAAGGCATGGCCAAGTGTGAAACAAACTGACATATGATATAATTTTGAGATATTGATGAGATTTAAGCAAAATAATCCATTTGGTCTTATCACGGAAAAATATGTTCCTTCAGGTCTCTTATGATTCATCATATTGGCTTATTACAAATGGAAATGCAATCTTACCCTACAACAATACTTTTCCTAAAAAAATATTTTTTTACATTGTCACAATGCTATTTATGATCTCAAATATCAGAATCGACCAATTACTTGTGATTATGGAACACAGTTTAAA